GACCTGTTTGGTGCATATGGTGGACTTAATCGAAATCGATGGTCGAACACACACGGCGGCAAATTGCCCCCATGGAAGTTTATTATTGTCCACCTCTTTAGTACGTAGTGCCTCCCGTTGGTAGAAGATGCGCTTCAGAATAGTGTGGTTTATGCTGTGCTGTTGGAATGAGCTGCACCGAGAGGCGAGAAAAAGGATAAAGCCTGTGAAACATAGCCCAAGCACAAGAACGTTAAAGGCGAGGTAGAAGGGATATAAAAACACAAACAGTACAGTACAAATCTTGGGACGTTTCAGAAAAAAATATTTGGTGGAAGGTTGTTATGGGCAGAGGGGGGGGGAGGGAGATCTCAGGGGTTGCTCGCCTGTACCGGGCTTGCCAGAGCGTTCTTCAGAATAGATGGTCGACCTAAAAGTCCGAAAAGATGTGCAATAGTTGTTGAAAATCGGTACGCGCAAATGGCTCTCTAGACAGTTCAAAATATGAAGCAGCGAACAACCTACGAGGTGAGGTTAGAGACTGTGAAGAGGTCCCTAGAACAGACCGGCGTTTGGCCTCCAGTCGTTCCACTGCGAGGCGCCGATTAAGTTCAATCCTCTCCTGAATACTCTCTTCGTCTGTATGCACAGCTGTTGAGGTCGACGGACGCGGCGGTGAAGAATTCTCTCTGGGCAACGGAGGCTGCACGTCCACCTGCGGGGTTCGTGTCACTTCATTTGTAATCTCCATCGTCATGGCGGCAGGAGGAATGCGGGGCTGCGTGAAAATAAAAAGCAAACGGTGACCCTCCCATAAATACGCTCTACTTACTCCATTTCAGTAAGCATTATATATAAATCAAATCAGTGATGCAAACGTAAAAACTGACCTGCACATTCTCCGCCAGAACGTCTGCCATCGCAGCCCGCATTACATCCTCGTCAGCCTCGCCTCCACTGGAATCGCCATCCTCGCGCTCGTCGACAAACTCCTCGCTGATGGCACTCACAGGCCAGACACCGGCACGCATACGCTGCAGTGTGTTGTGCACTTCCCGCTTGGTGCCCACCACCTCCAGTCGTTCAACAATCTCCTGGAAGGAGAACTTGGGCAGAAGCCGATTGGCCCAGGACTCGTAGAGGAAGAGCAGGCGGTTCAAATCTTCAAACTGGCACAATAAGAAAGACACAAGCATTATATCAAATAGTGTTGTTATGACCCTACCAAATACACTGAAGAAGAGGTATGTAAAAAATTCTACTTAACCATGGAGAAAAGCGACTAAAAGAGAGCCCACAGAATAACTACGAAAAACGTCAATAGAAACTCAGCTGGCAAGTAGTACTCACCATTTAAGTCGTAGTAACAAGTGTGCATATCGATTTGGAGTTCCCATTTAGAAATACAGGGTTGCAGGAAAGAGTTCAAGTCCAATCAATGTGCTTTTGCGAGCCCATTGTACCCAACAGTGGGCTCTGCACATTGAACCACAATGATCTGGCTGCCCAACACAGTAATCCTCAAGGTGCGCCATTCAAGATCTAAGATATACTGGCGTACCGTCTCCTTAAAAATGAAAGCCGGCTGACGCCCACTGAAGTGAATCGGCACCAGATTGAAGCGTAGGCTACAG